GATACAGCTTCCCAGTTTGACAGTGAATCACTGGTAGCGACTCTTTGAGTACAGTCTTTACCCATTTGTGCATCCACCTTATAGTAATTTCATCTCGATCTTATTTCCCTTGTTTGTATTATGACCTACAGGTCTCAAATGTGGGTCTGGAGAGTTTCTAGGAGCAGGCAGCAGTGATACTCCAACTCTCCATCTGGAAGTCTGCTGATACTTGCTTACCTGGGACTCTTGAAGCCCAACACCAGTTTGATTCTCTGCCCCTGAAGTCCTATTGGTGGAGTCCCAGAGTAGCTGATTGGCCTGTTGGCCCTACTTAAGCCAGCAGCAGGAATGGGAAGCTGTCTGTACAAGTGAGCTTCACCCTTTCCAGGGCTGTGTGACTTGTGCTTCCTGCTCCTCTGGCTTGATTTCCTGGCATCTGATTTGTGGTTCTGATCTCCTGGTATGCTGACTCCTGTCTTGTGACTGTGGACTCTGTTTCTGACTACTAGCTCTGGCTACTCATGACCTGTGATAGTTTGCTCACATGGATGTCACATGGAACTGTGTTGAAAGCCTTACTAAAATCAAGATATCACATCTACTGCCTCTTCTCTATCCTCTAGGCCAGTAACCCTGTCAAAGAAGGAAATTAAATTGGTTTGGCATGATGTGTTCTTGACAAAACCATGATGGTCATTTCTTATAACCCTATCATCCTGTAGGTGCTTATAAATTGATTGTTAAATAATTTGTTACAGTATCTTTCCAGGTACTGAAGTTTGACTGATCTATAATTCCAGAGTCCTTTTTCTCCCCCTTTTAAACATAAGTACTAATTTTCCCTTCTCTAGTTCTCTGGGACCTAATCTGTCCTCCAGGACTTCTTGAAGTTAATTGCTAATGGTTCCAAGATTGCTTCAGCCAGTTCCTTAAGTATCCCTAAATATCAAACATAACATTCTAAGAGAATATGGCCTGTATATCAAGAAAGCCAGTGCTAAACTGTTTTCAATAGCAGATTCTTCACTAACACATGAAACTGATCTCAGCCTGAGCTTAGCACCTTTCAGAAAAGGTTGTAAGGCACGTCTATTTGTCCAGCTCTTCTTTCTACACATACCTAGTCTACTGACAATATCCGTCCTGTCTTTATCCTTTTAAAGCCATGATGCTTACGGGAGTCATTGTGTATTAGTTCCCTATAAATGGAAATTGGTTTTGCCTTAGTTTCAACTATACACATTGAACCCAGATGCAACAGATCAGTTCCACATAAATGCCTGTAATAAATAAATAACTTATTTAGCTCAGGCTTTGCATATTCCTTTTATTTCTATGGGCTGTATAATGCTATGAATGAAAGTGTGACTGTATTGTACAGTATCTGCTGTTTGTCTTTGTGTGCATACAAATCATTTCAGAGAGGGTACAAATCCTAGTACTGTGCAGACCTCCTCTGTGCTATGCTTTCCACACAGACATATAATAGTCTTTAAAATATCGTTTATTTCAACCATTGAAAAAGAAATTACACTAATCCCTTTAAGGGCATTATATTTGACCTCTGACACATACGTTAGGCTGTCAGTTTGGAAGAGGCCCTCATTCTAAAGACTGAAGGATTATAATCTATTGCTAAACATTTGTGGGAGTACTCTTGTGGTTATAAAAGTCTCTTCACTCACCCTTAGGCTGGGTGCCAGAACTACTGAGTTTTGCTCTGTGGGTCTCTCAGCCTAAGCATTCACAAGTGAAACTCACAGCTATTATAAAACCCAGTCAGATCACTAGCTGAACTCTCTTAACCTCATAGCTGTCTACACAAAGGGTGTTTCATACTGTGAAACAAAGCACCGTTAGATTGTTCCATTTTACATATTCGACTGTTCCATTTTAAATTCACACCAAGGGGAAGAAATAACCGTAATTTAATAAAATAAAATAAAATGGGTAAAATTCAGCTCTTATTAAAGTCCATGTGAGTTTTGACATTGATTTTAACAGATATAGGATTCCATCCACTATCTCCCATTAATTTAATAGTTATTTTAGCTATTTAAAGTCAAGTAATTTATAATAGACATATTACATATGCCCTTTTACACTGGATATGTCTTATGAGGCTGGAAGATCAGAGGTTAATCCTGGCCTGATTGAAGTCAACAGCAAAACTCCCATTAACTTCAGTAAGGTCAGGATTTCACCCCTTGTTTCTATTCCTGGAATTGCAACAAATTTCCTATGGCAACTTGTGCAAGTCATGTAAGAACTTGGTTCCTCAGTCTCCTCATGTAAAAGGGAGATAATACTGCTGTATCATCTAGACAGAAAAGAAGACAAATACTTTTGTTAGAAAGATTATCAGAGAGAAGTCAGTGTTGCTGTCAGAAATCAACCATGTTCAAGGAAATTAGAAAGATAAATTCAGGGCCTTAACATGTCACTTGCCAGTCTAGTTTACCCCAGGCCTTCAAGACAATAAATAAACAGAATAAGATAAGCATCTATAATCACTGTATACAAAACACCTTTATACCAGAATAAGGCTTGGTTTATGCGTAAAAAAAATTACCCCCCAACCAACATAATCATGCCAGCAAAACCATCAGGATAGATGCAGTTATACCGACAACACAGTCCTTTTGCCAGCATAGCTTACTTTATTCAGGGAACTGGTATAAACTATGCTGGCAAGAAGGCTTTTTTGCAGTAGGGTTGCCGATATTGGTTGGACATATTCCTGCAGGTTTCATCACATGACATAATCTTTAATTCCTGGAGACGCCAGAACTATCCTGGAGGGTTGGCAAACCTAATTTTGCACGTATGTGCAGCATCTCCACTGTGAAAGTTTCTGGGTATGGCTATACCAGGAAACCCTTTCTAGTGTAGACAGAGCCTGAGCGTCTCCATACAAAGGGGACTGCACCGCTTTAAATCTACCAGTAGAATCAAAGCTATTCCAAAAAGAAAAGGAGTACTTGTGGCACCTTAGAGACTAACCAATTTATTTGAGCATGAGCTTGTCTCTAAGGTGCCACAAGTACTCCTTTTCTTTTTGCGAATACAGACTAACACGGCTGTTCCTCTGAAAGCTATTCCAATCACCCAGGACTACAACTCCCATCATGCCTGGGGCTGCCCTGGGCTCAGAGAGAGGGTGCGCAGGCGCAGTGACGGGGGGGGAGAGGAACCGCTTCGCTGGGGAGCGGTGGAGGACGCTGGGTGCCTGCTGGTGCCGGGGTGAGTCTGTGCGGGCAGGTGGCGGCGGGCGCGCGGGTTGTTTGTGGGCTGGGCCCGGCCCTGGTGCAGCCCGCGGTGGGGAGAGGTCCGGCTGGGGGCAGCGGGCAGAGCCCCTGCGCTCTCCGGAGACGGGGCGTGGGGGGCGCCGAGCCGCCGGGGCGGAGCCGCGCGCCCCGCAAGCCGGGCGCGAGGCTGCTGTGCTCGGGGTGTCCCCAGAAGCAGGGGCAGGTTTGGTCCAAGGGTCTCTGGCAGCGTCACAGCTCCACGCCCTGGGAAACTTCCTCCTTTCTTTGTCGCTGCGCTCCGCGCCCCCCCCCCCCGGGATTCCTTGCCGCGCTGCCTTATCTGCCCCCCCCCGCCCCCCGGCTTGAAAGGCTCCTTAGCGTCCCTCCAAGGGCACTCTCCCCAGCCCCCCACCCCCGAAACTTGATGTCCTCTGGCAATGGGAACGCAGCAGCTTTCCCACTCTCTCCTCCCACCCCTACCCATTGCTCTGTGGCTTGCATTGTAATTTGCTCTGTTAGAACATGCAGCCTTCAAGAGCCTTAGGGTGTTTTCTCGTTTCTTAAACCATTCTGTCCATCTCCCGGCCCCTGATATGTTCTGGCTTGGAGCCTTGGTCTGTTGCCTTGAGATCTCCAGCCGAGTTTTGTTAAGTACAGGAAAATAAATGCCCTGTCTGAAAACTTTCTTCATTCATGTTGATGTTGGTGATTAAGTATTCGATAATAAATCATGATATGTGCAAAGCGAGGTTTGGTGTTACAGGAATCATGATGTTCGTGTGTCACCCACACCTACATTGTAAATCAACAAATTGGAAGTGTAATGCTTTTCTGTGTTAGTCTTGGAAGCATATGTTTGTAAAACCGCTTTACTTAAAAATGTAATAGAATAATCATCACAGGTCACCGGCAAAGGGAGAAAAAATTAGCATTTTTCTGTTTAGCATTTTTCTGAGGTGTAAAGAGGCCTTGAAATGGTTTTTGTGCCCCCCCCCCCAAAAGTCTGTGGGGTGACTTTTTAAACTTTTTTTTTACGTTAGAAATGTTTAGCTTAACTCCTTTTTCATTATGTTCTAAAATTTTTGGTGTTTTAAAATAATACCTACTTAGCTTAGTAACATTTTGGAGAAGGAAAGCCTTTGTTAAAAATTCAGGTGTCCCTCCTCTTCCCCCAACCCCTTCAAGTGAAGCATTCAAGCTAACAATGTACATCTTCTGAAACCCTGAGCCACTCCTTCATCAAAACCATGGAAAGGGCCCATCATAATTTTTTAATAATGTTCTTCAGATCATCTTTAATATATGTGAATATATTGTTTTGAAGACATGAATTCAAACACTTATTTTTCTATCTTCCCACATAGCAGGTATGTGCTAACCTTTCTATCAGCAGCCCAACTGATCAAATAAAATAGCTACAATTTATACTTTAAAAAGTTGGCTAGCAGAATCAGAGCTCTCTCTTTCTCTCCTCAGCTTTGACACAACTCTATAAATTTGTTTTGTACGTGTTCTACAACTTTAAAACTGTGCTTGTAAATAATTTTTAGAAGGCTACTTGCCAAGGAATGCTTTTCTGGCATACCTATGTTTAACAAAAGGATATGTATTATATGGAGTGTTAATGTAGAAATCTTCCGGTAATGAAAACTGAATGTCTCATGAGGCTGTGTTCAAACAGGAAATAGAGATATGTTTACGTCAAGACATGTAACTTGAATGACAAGGCTCAGTGGGCCCCTTTGCAGTGTAAATGTTCATATACTTGTCTGTTTCCGTGTGCTCTGAGATTCTCATGGACAAGTTTGCTGTGTTGGTCTCTGAAAGGTAAAATGTGAGCTGATGTATTCTAAAAAATGGTGTTAAGTTCTTCAAGCTAGAAAAATAATGCTAGAGGAAGGCAGAAACAACTATTTTAAAAAATATTTTTAAATAATTGCCATGTTATCAGCAGTGGCAAAGTTAGAAGATATTTGGGTAATCCCGGAATGTAATTTAAAACAGGAAAATAGAGAGCAGGCTATTTTCAGTAAAAAAATTCAGATAATAGATATTCAAACAGCTGTTTTTACAATGCCCTGTTGCAGTAAAGACAAGAAAAGAAATCTGGGGAATCAAAAATTATTGTAGCAGGCGTAATTTCACATTATTGCCTTAAAGCAAACTTACTTTAACATAATTAATGTATCCTATACAATTACATTTTGCTAACTGATTGTGTATATAGATTTTTGATACACAAAGCTTTACTGGGATGAATGATTTGGCATGACTAGTCCTTCAGAATTTGGAAGGCTTGGTCTTTTGCTTTTCTTTCCATTGTTAGACTAAGAAGTATGTAGGATGAATTTAAAATAGTTTGGTAACTCCTGAAACTTGTTTTGATATTCTAGATGAAAAGATAAGAGGAGCATCTTAAAGTGAATTTCCTTTCCCCTTTTTGTGTTTTGTTCGAGTGGGTCGTCACTGCTAAATAAGCAAAAGAGGGAGAAATTATGTTGCATTCTATCTGGAGAATTAAAACTAAAGCATACTTGGTTTTTTCTGTTTTTGTTAGAGGATAGCAAATAGCTTTTGAAAATGCTACATGTGTGCAGTATATGAGCAGGAAGTCCTTAAGTGTACACATACATGTAACCTTCGCAAGGGATTTCTGCCCCAGCTGCTCTTACCTCCCCAGGGCAGTTGATAACTGCGGGATTTTAGCTAGTGTGTGAGGCTTTTTTATTATTATTCTGGTATGCTTATCTTTCTATTCTCCAGTTCAAGGTCTGGCATTTAGCTCTGATCATAATACCTGCCCTTTGGCTAGCAAGGCTTACAAATCTGGAAATGCCTTTAAGCTGGTTGTGCTGAAGAGCACAGCTCATTCACCTGCTGTCCCCAGAAGCTCTGTCGTTGCTACAGTGCTTTCAGCCCAGTAAATGAAAAATGCAGTGTTCTTGAATCAGTCTCCTGTGGGAAATTTCATAATGTTCTCTACTAGGTTATTTTGCTGTTCAGTCCTATTTGTCTGATTCTATAGAATAGGTGATTGCATTTTTAAGAAATAAGCATCCAGGTATAGGATCTTACTGGACAAGATTATCTGGATTAATGTAGCCATCTCTTAAAACAACCCAGTATTGTGCTCACTCTGCATCTTTATTAATGCTATGTATTTATGGACTAAAAGCACAAGCACAAAAAGTAAACACTGCTTTGCTGAAAAGAGTCAATACCTCTTACTGATGTAGAGGGGAAAAAATAGCAGTATTGAGCAATATAGATGCTTCCAAATGTAATCTTTGGTGGAAACATTTTTTTTTCTTTGCAGGTATGTGGAGGTGCAAAACTGTAACATCTGAGTCTGATTACGTGTTAGGGATTCCAGTTGCCCACAAAGGCATCTGTTAGTTTGAACAGAAAAATGCTCTTGGTTGATTGAGGTCATTTGACAGGACAAGTGGCATAATATATGTACATTTCATTATAAGGTGAACTGCATTTTCTCCAACTATATCAGAATTTACAGTGAGAAAAATCTACAACTTGCACTGTAGAAAAATTAGAGTGGTATAACCCAAGATGGGAATCCATCTAATGGATATATAACTCTTTAGACCTCTAAGTGATTCTGGACTGGATTGGTTATGAAGAGAAAATGGTTGCCATTTCGGGGCCAGGCACATGAAACAAGTTGGTGGTGTAGGCTTAGTTCTTAGTAGTAGGTGGCTCTATCCCAAAATTACTATAACTCTCATGGTACTCTGATTGGATGATTCAGCAGAAATGCCAAGGTTTGATTGGCTGTAAATCAGTGGTCACCAGCCGGTAGATTGCAATCAACTGGTTGATCCTGGAGCCTCTGCCAGTCGATTGCAATCTCCGGCCGCTAAAAGTCCAGTGGTGCAGCAGGGCTAAGGCAGGGGCCCCATGCTGTTCCCGGAAGCAGCCAGCACACCCTGAGGCCCCGGGGGAGGGGCAGGGGTCTCTGCATGCTGCTCCTCCCTGCAAGCACTGCCCCCGCAGCTCCCGTTGGCTGGGAACAGGGACCTGCAGCCAGTGGGAGCTGTGGGGATGGTACCTACAGATAGGGGCAATGCATGGAGCCATGTGCACCCCCCCGCCATCCCTCCCCAGAGGCTGCAGGGGTATGCTGGCTGCTTCCAGGAGTGGTGTGGGGCCAGGGCAGGCAGGGAGCCTGCCTTAGCCCTGCTGCATCGCCGCCCGGGGTAAGTGCCACCTGGTGGAAGCCCACAACCCAGCCCTGAACCCCCTCCCGGAGCCAGCATCCTGAACCCCCTCCTGCACCCCTGCCCCAGCCTGGAGCCCCCTTCCACACGCCAAACCCCTCAGCCCCAGCCCAGAGCCCACACACCCTCCTGCACCATGACCACCTGCCCCAGCCTGGTAAAGGTGAGTGAGAGTGGGGGAAGGTGAATGACAGACAGTGGGGGGATGGAGTGCGCGGAGCAGGGTCTCAGGGAAGGGGTGGGGTAGATTCTGGGTTGCACTTAAATTCAAAAAGTGATCTTGTGAGTAAAAAGGTTGGAGACCACTGCTCTAAGTAGTAGTACACAGTACTATTAATGAGGGATCCCACAACGAGAATGTTAAACTAAGAATGTGCTGGTATTCATATTGCCTTTGTCACTTTAAAATAGACTTCTTATTTCTTCTAGTTTTGGTAAATGAAGATAACTTAATAAGTCTTCATTAAAGAGAATGTGGTGTTCATAAACGGTTACGTGTATTCTTGTATGTTGAGAGTTAAAGTTGCTGGCATTGTGGAGACTTCCTTTGGGGAAAACTTTAGATTAGGCTCCATTAAGCAGCTGGAACTGTTTCAGTCTCTGATTGATGGTGGAATGCTGATAAAATCTGCCTGTGGACCCTATTCTCCCTGCCAATTTAGATTCGTCCAGGGGCTGATTGGAAGAAGATTCTGGAGTAACAAATGAGGGTAAAGTGAACTCTGTAAGCTTGCTGGCCAAAACCAGCTCTGTTTGTTTTTATGATGTCACTTCTATTTTAAAATCTGACCTAAAAAAAACACAACCAGTTTAGTGACTTCAGTAAAGTTTAAGATTTCAGTTTCAACTCTCCCCCACAAAAGTATGACTAGAGAAATATTAGGGCCCTGAGAAACTGTCCTTAAAGGTACCAGAGGTAAATTTTTCAGGGTTGTCTTTGAAGGAAAAATAAAAAATTCCAATCCACACTTTAAGAGAACACATTTACAGAATAATTCAGGTGTTGAGGTGAGATGTTTGAAAGTGGCTGAAGAGTCCTTCCGAGGTGATTAGCAGAGGTCCCTCAGCTAATAAAAGCAGTATAACATAAGAATATTTCTCTCCAGTGCTTATTTCTGTTGTTGCTCATCATTTTCCCAGGCAGCAGCAGAGTGACCTGATTCTTGTGTCTTTCTCTCCTGTCCATAGTGTTCTAACTAGTCTCATGTATTAACTCTCCTGATGCTTAATAAACCTAGGAATAGCAGAAGAGACATTGGAGTTGTCTGAACGCAGACTGGGGCAGCACTGCGTTAATTCACATTTGGAATGTAATACTTGTAGTGATGATGACTGCTAAAAACTATTTTTAAATGAAAGGTCAAATTTGTCAAAAAATCATGGCTTTATCCTCTTCCATCTCTTGTCTCCCTCCCACCAACTTAATAAAGTTTCCTACTTGACTGGCAAATGGGAGAATAAATTCCTCAAGCCCAGCTACATTGTTCTTAGTTATATACTCTGAGGAAAGTGACCTTTCAGACGTCTACATGCAAAGTTTTTAAGCTGTAAACTATAAAGTTAGATCAGTGGAAAACACCGGATCCTAGATTGACAAGGGAACTTTGAGATGTGATCTGGAATGATTAAGTCAAATAACAATGGCATTAACATAGGCTGTAGTTAAAGCTTTTGTGAAAATGAATTGTTTAGTGTAGTAAGTTTTTTGATGTTGCTTTGCAGAAAAAGGCACTATGTGCCCCAAAGAGCTTACAATCTAAATACTACTTCCTGCCTCCTGTGATGGAATGGGAATTTTCTGTAACATTTTGCATGAATATTGTGTGTACCTTAGTTTCCCCTATATACTATATTGTTAACTAGGTGGCAGGAAAAGATTGTTTGCTCTCTGCAGAGACCCAGAGATATAGGTGTGATCTACGCCTACTGTCTGGGGCCTGGGCCCCGTGTGACAATGGTTGCCTGGGAACAAGAACAAAGAACTGGGGAAGGACAAAGCGGGGGGGTTAAGTGTGAGCTGCTGGAAGCTGGACACTCTCCTGAGCTAGCACAAAAGAGAGGCTATGGGCTAACCAGGATGGACCGTGCTGTAACTTTCTGTTCTGTATGCTAACCAAGGACTTTCTATGCTGTGTTCCAGACAGCTAATAAACCCTACTGTTTTTATGATGCTAGCTGAGAGTCACTGCAGTATCTGAAGTTGGGGGTGCATTGCTCCCTTTGGGTGTTCAGTTCTCTCTCAGGTGGATTAGCTGAAGGGAGCTCACGGTGTGAAGCGGTGGTGCTGAAGGCTCTGAGGTTCAGTCTAAGAAGGCAGTGAAGCCAAGTGTCTTATCAGAGTGAAAGAGTGAGACCCTGAGGGAGCCTGGCACACTGAAGCGGTTCTCCAGGGACTGTTCCAGAGCTGTTCCAAAGCACTGGACCTGTGGATCTGTGACACCAATATTTTGTAGTGAATCAAATAGTGCACAAACACATTTTCAAAAACTAGTTGTTTGTATTGAATGATGGAAAGCAAATAAATGCAAATTAAACAGTAAATTATAGCACCTTAAGATAGTTAATGGGAGGTGAAGGGTTCTAGCTTAACAG